ACCCTTCTAACTTATTATTTGATTATGTTTTTGAGTTAAACTTGTGCTTTTAATAAATTTTGTGTTTGTTTCAGTGTAATAAGCTTGAGACTCATTAAATGCATTTTGGAGACAAGTTAGCTAATTTGTGTGTGCAAATCTGTCAACTTCACGGATTAGACTGTACTTGCTTATGAAGAACCAGATGATGAGCCACATATCATTGGAAAGATACGGAAGTCTAGTTTCTGGAGAATTTTACGGTTCATGATTCCGAGTCTTCTAGAGAACGTTATGCAAGTTTTGGCAGGTTAAGGTCAAATTCGGCAGCATCTGCGTTACTGGGCCAAAAATGACATTTGAAGGTCTTTCCGATTTTTTCTTGAGTTGGGCTGCATATGCCTGGAAAGATAATTCCAAGGGTTTGAAGATCCAGATTTTTCCAGATTTTGTAGGAGGGAAGATCAAGCCCAAAAAGAAAGGAAAGAAAAGAAATGAAGTCAATTCCAGTCTATTTTCGGCAGTCAACTTGCAAGGCCCAAAACGTACACTTGTACTGTTCAGATGTATAATACATTCTTCATAAACGTTGTTCCAATGGATGTCTATTATGACATATCCAAATTTGAGCCCCATTGGATACATATTGAAACCTCAGGCCTTCCTACTCCAAGCCTGGTTCAGAAGAATCGTTTTTTCCAAGCAACCAAAAGAAAACCCACATGGGTTGGTAGCAAAAGGCAGCCACAATTGAACACCTTTGAAATCCCATGTGAAGAAAGCTTGGGGTGCAGCAAAAGAAGTATGTGATGGAATTGATTCCAACCACACTAATATAGACAAGATGAAGTGGGAGTTATGGATTGTATTAAAAAAGGAATGGTGGTGTTGGAATTCATCATGATGTTCCTCCCTCTTAGACCTATAAATATAGAAGTCTTCAAGCTTCAAAACACACCCCCAAATGGGGGATTTCTCAAACACTTCTCTAGAGCTCCCCTCCCTTCTCTTAAGTTTTTCTTAGTTCCACTTTACTTTTCATTGTTATGTAAATTCCTTTCTTTAGTTTCAAGTTTGATTAGTTTCCAAGTTTCAATTATGGTTTTTGTTCCTATTCATTATGCTTATAAGTTAATATGCTAGTTTGAATGATTGATCACCATTTAGGCTTGCATGTTAGCTATCTTGGTTTGAATTAAGAGTAGACACCATGTTATAATTCGGATTGAACTATGAATAAGAAGAGTATGTATGGACATTCGACAACAGGGATTAGATACATACTTGGTTGTTTAAAATGTTCTTCTATGCTTAATGGATTCCTAATGCTTAGTTTAGGTTAGACAACAGATGATCAAATTAGGGAATTAGGAATACAAGGTTAGGATCAAACACCATGGCTTAATCATACTTTAGCTAGAATCAATTCGTTAAGCTAATTGAACTTGAGAACTTATCTGCTTGAGTTATTTTCTTTTCTTTCTTTCTTGTTTTATTTATTTCTTTCTTGTTTTTCTGTTTTGTGTAGGAAAACTGAATTGGATTATTCAATCACCAATCCTTGTGGAATCGACCTCGCACTTACATATGCTATACTACCGAACGGCTCGTGCACTTGCGAGTATCACAAGTTGAGGATGCAGCTGAATCCATTTCGGTGCAGCTGAATCGACGCAACAGCCTCCCAGTGAGGATTCATCTTATTTGACCCTTGCCGTGGTGCAGTGATGAAAGCCTTTCTTAGCACGAGATCGCCTGGTTGAAATTGTCTGACCTTGGCTCTTTTGTCGTAGTAAGACTTCAACTGCTGTTGATAGGAGGCGACTCGGACAATAGTCTTCTCTCGTTCGCCCTCAAGCAAGTCGAGGTTGAGCCTCATCTGCTCAGAGTTCTGATCAACACTGCCCACCCCAAGGCTTATAGAGGGGACAGTGATGTGAGGAGGGATGATCGCCTCTGTCCCATAAGCGAGGGAAAATGGGGTTTCACCAGTCGATCTTTGTTGGGTAGTGCGATAAGCCCATAGCACTCCGAGGAGTTCATCCACCTATTTCCCTTCAACGCCTTCTAGCCTTTTCTTCAAGCAGTCCAATATGACTTTGTTGGATGCCTCCGCCTGTTCATTTCCTTGTGGATACCTCGGGGTGGATAGGTGTTGTTTCATTTTGTATTTTGCAAAGAAGGCGGTGATGTGCTTGCCGATGAATTGTGAGCCATTGTCTGTTACTAGTGACTGTGGGCAGCCAAACCGGCAGATGATGTTTCTCCAGATGAATCGCTCCACATCGACTTCTTTAGTAGAAGATAGAGCTTTAGCCTTGATCCATTTAGTAAAGTAGTCAGTGGCAATGATCATCATGTCCTTTTTAGCAGGTGCCGATGGCAGGGGACCCACAAGGTCAATGGCCCATTGCATGAATGGCCATGGACTGTTTTATGGATGGTAAACTTCGGCAGGCAGGCTAGGAATCGGCTTGTATCGTTGGCAGCGATCACATTTCTTGACATATTCAGTGGAGTCGTGGCGCATGGTAGGCCAGAAGTAGCCTATGTTTAGAGCCTTCTGGGCGAGTGATCTGCCCCCAGAGTGGTTGCCACACTCGCCGTCGTGAATTTTGCAAAGGACCTCGCGTGTTTGTGAATTATGGTGTATAGAAAGAAGGCGTTAAGTATCCTATTAGGATTTGTTTTACCTAATATGATTTTCATATTAAGATTTTATTATTTTCTTATTAGATAAGTTTTAAGAATATTCTAGAATCTAGGATTTCTTACGATTTTAGGAATTCTTTTTTTCTATTTAAACAACTTTATGAAGTTTTTATTCTTAAGTTAATTTCTATTGATAATAAAACTATTAACATTTTCTATCTTTTCAATTCATTAATTTTAGGGTTAGTGCTTGTTTTTCCTTTATCATTTTCCGTTCTTTCATCTTGCGCTATCAACAATGGCATGACGATATGCCTCAGACACAAAGTCTTTATAATTCTTAGGTGTTTATTATTTTGACATGGAATAGGAAATGTCCTTTCTAAAATCTAGCCAAAAGACTTGTAAAGGATGTGTCCTTGAAGCAGCTTGGGAAACTGATTACTTCTTGGTTGAAGACTGATGTACTCTCACAACCTTCTCGGGAATAAAAAGCGATAAAGTCCCAAAAAGTCAACTCGAGACCCTGTGGGGTCCACGACCTCAGAATTCCAATCCGATCACTCCTAAAGGTTCCAAACTGCCTAGGACACATGTCCCGAAAATTTGGTCTCGATCGGACGGTCGGATTGCTCACGATCGCACGATTGGATAGACGAACGATTTTCCGTAACACTAACCCTAGGGTTGGCCTTTTCGGAGTATCCGGGACTCCGATTGACGATCCGTCGAATCCTACACGATCTTGAAATTACCCAAATCTACATACTTCAATTTGATTATGATCCAAACGTATTGAACCCGGAAATAGCACATATGCGAGATCCATTCGGGGTTCAAACGTTATCCGAATTGAGATCCGCGAAATCCTACGCACTCGTGAGGACACGAGGATCATTCTAGGACCAAGAGTGGTCCCTGCTACCTGACCCACTCGCCGCCCACGCGCCGGCCGCGCGAGGGTGTGCCTAAACTCCTATCCTAGGTAAAACGCCTAATTTGGAGCCACTTTTGTTCTTGGACTAAGGCCAAAAAGTGGCTGGAAGTGGCTGAAAACGGCGACGCAAACTGGCAGAATTGCAGCTCGAAATTTACCCAATCAAACCTCAAAATCTCTCCAATCTTACCCAATCATCAGCTAGTACGTGAAAATCAGTCGAAAAACCATACCTAATTCGTCCGATTTGGTGGTCGGAGGA